CCCACTCGTCTTTATATTAATAATTCCTCACAAGCAGCAGAACCAGGGTAAGTAACAGAGAAGATGGTGATTCTGCCAATTGCACCATTATCTCGCGTGCTTGGGCAGAAAGCACTAAGTATATTTCAGCATACTTTGGGGACAGGAATTCAAATAAATGATCCATAAGTATTTTTTCAACAGATACAACACCTTAGTTTTAAAACAACCTTGAAACCCTGCCCTTGCAGCCCTGGTGGCTAACAGAGCCCAGTTCCTCTTCCTGTGCCAACAGTTTCTTTTGTGACCCTGGATGGTATCACACAAGGGCTTCCTACTCCGTCCTAGCATGAGGTCTCTGGACGCGCATGCCTTGGAAGCCCCTTGATTTTGACTGAGCAGCCACGTTGGCTAGGTCCTATCCCAATTCCGCGAGGGTTCTATTCCCTTTTCACTTTGGACAGTTACGTAACTCAGGCAACGTTTTTTCCTATTTCGCTTTTATAGTTCCAATCCTGGACTTTGCTATATGACACTTTCTCTGAGAAACCAGCCCTCCAGGAAGGACGTTTATCCTGGAGATCACTTTACTAGAACACTAAGACGGAGCCACCATGCTTTCTGGAGGCCAGAAGACTGGCAAGTTGGTGAAGACCGTGACTGTCTGTCTCAGAGCCACCATGCTTTCTGGAGGCCGGAAGACGGGCCAGTTGGTGAAGACCGTGACTGTCTGTCTCTGTGGTCTTGCCCTTTAAAGGAACCAGGAGGGTCTCACCAGGGAACCAGGCAGCGCCGGCTTCCCACGATCCCGCAGCCGACGCTCGGCTGTGGGGATGCTGCGCCCACGATGGGTGTCTGGGGCCAAGGGCGCACGGGAGGCGACTGGCTGGGCATCACGTAGGCGCCCGCGGGGGGGGGCGGGAAAAAAAACCGACCTGCCGAATCCGCGCCGGCCCCGCCCGGTTCAAGGGCGAAGAGAAGGTCGCCCGCAGCGTGGGCAGAAGGCTAGGGTACCTGGCCTCTCACCTGAACACCCCTCTATGGTTTGTGGTCTGCAAACAGGAGGAAACGAGGCATCGAGCCTTTCAACTCACCGGGGCAGGGGGATCGAGGGAAATAAAAAGCAAAACCCGGTGAGGAACCTGCCTCCAGTCTGCGATCTTTAAGGCTCCAAGGTCGCATTGGCCAGAGAGGCACTGATGGGCTTTCCGGGGTGGGCTCTGCTGTAATAGGAATGTACCTGGACTAGGGCACCCCACCGTCTGGGAACCCCAGCACCCGCACGTGCGTGCCTGCCGCTGAGCGAGCCACCCTCCTTCAGAATTTTAAAGATTCTCTAAGCACGACCGCGTCCAAATGCCCCGGGTTCAGGTCCCCTCCTCCGTGAAATCAGCCTCACTGGGAGTGTGTGTGTGGGGTGGGGGTGGGAGGGGGGAACCCTGGAGTTGGGTCCCCGAGCGCTGGGGACGTCCTGGAGTCCCCGCTTCCTGGTTTTCCCCGTCCAGGGGAAGGCCTGGTGACCCAGTTCAGTTTTCAGTTTGGTCACAAGCCGGGAGATGGCAGGAGATGAGAGCAGAGTGGAGGAACACCTTTAACAAAATCTCCCAGCGACGTGATGCGTCCCGGGAGGCCGCGGCCACGCGGGCAGGGACCCCCGCGCGCCCCTCGCGCAGTCCGCAATGCAGCAGTCGGGCCACGCCCGCGCCGCGTGGGGGGGGCGAGTCAGCAGTGCGCCGCGGGGACCCAGCCGTTTTAGTCCACGGCGGGTCGTGGATGGGTGCGTGGGACGGGAAGGCTGACTGGGAGAGGGGAGCTGCG